TCTCTCTCACACACACACACACACACACACACACACACACACACACAGACCATGAAATATGTTCAACTTTACTAACAACTGGGAGAAACAAAACACAATCTTAATTTGATTTCTCTTTTTGTTTTAAAAATACTTTCCAGTGCCAGATATTATGGTATACCCATGTTTGTAATCCTATCACTGGAGAGATCGAGACAGATGAATCCTGAGGCTTACTGAACAGACCTAACCTAATTGGTGAGCTGTAGGCCATGAAAGACCCTGTCTAAAGGTATGCCTGTGAATGACATCTGAGGTGGTCCTTTGATTTACATACACACAAATCTACATGCAGCTACACATACTCAAACACATGCACACACTAAGAAACAAACAAGCAAAAAATACTTCCTGAGAGAATACCACCCCACAGTGAGATCTGTCTTGGAGAAATTTACTTCTATACACAAGGAAAACCGTAAAACTGCTCAATACACTTGTGATAGCAAAAATCACCCTCCCCCAAAAGAAAACAAAAATGGAAACTCAAAAGCATATCAAAAGAAAAAAGGATCAATTCTATTAGAGCACAATGCCCTGCAATAATTCAAGTAAATGAACTAACTCTATGCACACTACCCCGTAAACCTCAAGAACATAATGTGGAATAATTGTTGGTGATCATGATATAGTACAATAACATTTAACTAACTCTAGAAATCTTGCAGAAGTATGCTACATACATTTCAAGGCTAGAGAGATGGTTCAGTGGTTAAGAACACTGCTGCTCTTCCAACGGACCTGGGTCCAGTTACCAGTACTCACAAGCTGGCTAACAACAATCCCTAACTCCAGTTTCAGGGGATCCAATGCCTTCTTATGGCCTCTGAAGGCACCAGCACACACACGGTGTACTTAACATAAATGCAGAAAAAACAACTCAAACACATAAAATAAAAATAAGTAAAGAGGTTTTTTTTTTAATTTTCTTGAGTACAGTACATACATTTCAAAGATACAGATACAAGTAGGTAAAGTGTTTTTAAAAGATTGTGAATGTAGGGTTGGGGAGGTGGATCTGTGAATACAGTGCATGTTGGGCAAGCATGGTGAACTGAGTTCAGACCTACACAACCCATATTAAAAAATCAGGCATAGCAGCACATAGCCTGTAACTCTGCCACGGGAGGGAGTAGATCCCAGGGCTCACTGGCCACCAAAATAAAAGGAGCTCCAGATTCAGTGAGAGGCTCTGTCTCAAAAAACAATGTGGCTCTCAAATGTGTATGAACACATGCATACACACAGCCAGAGAGAGAGAGAGATTAATGTATGAAAAGCATTATGATTTAACAAATCTGAGGCAGGTGAAATGACTCAGCAGGTAAAAGCACTTGCCACCAAGTTTAAACACCTGAGTTTGATCCCCAGCCTCTCCACGGTAGAAGGAGAGAACCTCTGAACACCACATAAGTCATGGCATACACAAGCAAGCTGGGGGGGGGTGGAGCGGGGATGAATAAAGGTTAATTTTTGAAAACCTTTTAAAATTATTTATTTAACCACATGATTAGAAGAAGCATTTCATTACAGGATTAACATATTCAATAACAATTTCCAGAGCAAAGATATATCTCTTTCAGTATTGGCTGTAAATTTTTAGATTCACAGTTGAATTAATACAGTTATACAACATTGAACTCAGTATAAACCCTATAAGACATAAAATTGAAGAAGCTTTAAACCTTTAAAAAGATCTCCAGTTCATTTTAAAATATACTGTTTCATACAGAAAAACTCATTTTTAATGCTACTAACACAGATGTTTGTACATGCGTCTCTAATCTCTATGTATCTTATTATTACTAGTCACCGTCAGTTACTTTCTGAGATCCACCTGAGCATGGATATAAAATCATTGGGTAGATTTCAATGGTAATGTGTTTCACCTCTGTTAATTAACATGGAGTAAATTATTATGCATCCTCCTCAACTATAACTCATTTTTTTATTTGTTGATTTTTTGTATTTCATACAAAATATCCCAAGCAATCTTATTCATCTATATACCCACATACCAAATGGCACCCTCCCATAGTTTCCCCCACCCCCCCCACTGGAGCCCATATACTCTGTAATCCCTGTTACTGTCCACTGTGTTGTGGGCACCCCCAGCTGTTCTCCAATGCTTGTCTATCTGCTGAATCTAGTCAGTCTATCTAGAGTTCCTTGTTTTAGGACGATCAGTTCTTCCTCGTCTACCAGCAATCAGTTGCCAATATTCCTTTAGATAAAACTGGGGTCTGCTGTTCATTTTCCCACTTCTATGGTGGGTTAGTGTCTGGGAGTCTCCTGGGCCACCCTGGCCAACAACTCAAAGGAAGGTATCCCCTGCCTGGCATTGTTTCTTGTTGTGTAGCTTCTAGCTATACACATGGACTCTTAAGGAGTTATATTGATCCCTTTAATCTTTGGTTATACTTCCTTTTGAGTGTTTAAGACCATACCGTTGGCCCAGAAAAACCAATTTATTTTTACTCTTAAGGTCATCTGCGGATCTGTTCCTCAGGGATCACATGGGCCCAGGAGTCGTCCCTGGCTCCTTTCCTTTACCAGTTCCATCTATGTGAAGATGAGTCTATGGTCTTATTCAACCACGTCTGGCTTCACTTGGAAGCATGGAGGAAATGTTTCCTTTGTGTTGGCCATCCTCTTTGTAGACTGGACATTGGCTCAAGTTCATTTGGTTGGATCTCTATGGCCTCCTTGATCAAGAGGACAGGTGATGCACCAGAGTTACAGGACATTTTGAGAGATGCTCATAGTCCCCTGTAGCTTAGGTGACCTAGGAGGGCTTGGAGCAAAAACTGACCTTTATGGACCTCGGACCAAATTAGTATAGGCCTCAAAATATGGCTGTTAAACATCAAAGAAGGTTAGTTCCACCAGTCTAGTACTTTTAATTGCCATGTGCTATGTAGACAAAGTTTGGGCAAAGACCAAACATTCTCAGATAAACCTTGCCTAGACACATATTATATTCCTTGAGTTAGTTGTATGTATAATTTGTAAGTAAGTTGCTTGATTAATATAGTTCCTTCTGGCTTTTTAAAACAAGCTAGGCATTTATCTCTCACATTGTCTAACCCTTCTACCATGGTTTCCCCATTTAAAGGCCCCCCATTTTTCCCATTTCTCCCTTAATAATAACCTTCTCCTATGGTCTAACCTCTCTTGAGCTCCTTCTTTCTCTTTATCCCCAAGGTTCCTTGTATAACCATCCCTTCCCCCTTCCCTTAAAATAACATTTTTATCCATATCTCCCTTATTAATGCCTGTTTCCTACTGTTCTCTTTCAGATTCTTTCTTTTCTTTTACCACCCTGGTTCCTTTTCATTACCCTGGTTCCTGTAGTTATGTCTGGATACATACTCACTTAGAAGGATTTGGTGCTAGGATCCACATATGAGGGAGGACATATCGTTTGATATTTTTCTGAGTCTCTGTTCTTCACTCAGTATAACAGTTTGTAGATCCATCCACTTACCTGCAAATTTCATTATGTCATCTTTCTTTAGTTCTGAACAGAACTCCATTGTGTAAATATACCAGATTTTTTTGTTCACCACTTGTCAGTTGAGGGGCACTTAGGTTGCTTCTATCTCTTAGCTATTGTGGAAAGAGCAGGAACAAACATGGATGTACAAGTGACTCTGCAATAGCATGAGTTCTTTGGGTATATGCCAAGGAGTGGTATAACTGTGTCAAATGTTTGGTTCATTTGTAGTTTTGGGTCCTCCACACTGCTCTCCATAGGGGTTGAACAAGTTTGCAATCCCACCAGCAGTGGATGAGCATTCCCCTTTGCCCACATCCTCTCCAACATTTGGTATCATTTGTTCTCTTGATCTTAGCCTGTCTGACTGTAGTAAGATGAAATCTTAAAGTGGTTTTAATTTGCATTTCCATAATTACTAATGATGCTGAACACCTTTTAAGATGCTTCTTAGCCATCTTTATTTCTTCTTTGGAGAACTCTCTGTTCAGCTCCTTAGCCCATCTTTTTACTAGGTTACTTCCTTTCTTGATTCTTTATTTTCTGAGTTCGTTATATATTCTGGATGTTACACCTCTATCAGATGTGTCGCTGGTGAAGATTTTCTCCCATTCTGTGGGTTTTCTCTTCACTCCCTTGGTTGCTTCTTTTGATGTACAGAAGCCTTTTAGTCTAAGGAGGTCCCATTTGTTGATTCTTGACCTTGTTTCCTGGGCAGTTGATGTCTAGTTTAGAAAATCCTTTCCTATACCTATATCTTGTAGGTTATTGTCAATGTTTTTGTCTAACAGTTTCAGGGTTTCAGGCTTCACATGAAGGTCTTTGATCGATTTGGAGTTTACTTTTGTGCAAGATGAAAGACAGGGGTTGAGTTTCATTCTTCTACAGGTGAAGATTCAGTTTTGCCAGCACCATTTGCTGAGCATGCCGTCTTTCCTCCAGTGAATGCTCTTGGCCCCTTTGTCAAATATCAGGTGGCTGAAATTGCATTTACTCCTATTTGGGTCTTCAATTTTGTTCCATTGATCTATGGGTCTATTTTTGTGCCAGTACCATGCTGTTTTTATGACAATAGCTCTGTAATACAGTTTAAAGTCTGGTATAGTAATCCCTCCAGCATTGCTCTTAGTGCTCAGGGTCCCTTTGACTCTCTGAGGTCTTTTATGCTTCCATATGAATCTTAGGATTTTTTTTTTTCCAACTCTGTGAAGAATGTCATGGGAATTTTGATTGGCATTGCATTGAATCTATAAATCGCTTTTGGTAGGATGGTCATTTTCACAATATTAATTCTTCTGATCCATAAGCATGGGAGGTCCTTCCATCTTCTGATGTCTTCCTCAATCTCTTTCCTTAAAGATTTAAAATTTTCACTGTAGAGGGCTTTAATATCTTTGGTCAGGTTATTCCAAGATATTTTAATTTTTTTGCAGCTACTGTGGAAGGAAGTGTTTCCATATACTTTTTCTGATTTCTTGTTATTGGTATATAGAAAGGCTACAAACTTTTACAGATTAATTTTGTAACCTACCACTTTATTGAACGTGTTAATAATTTCTAGGAGTTTTCTTGTGGAATATTTGGCGTCTCTTAGGCATAATATCATATCATTTGCAAAGAGGGATAATTTGGTCTCTCCTTTTCCAATTATTACTCCTTTAACTTCCTTCTCTTGTCTTATTGTTCTTGCAAAAGTTTCAAGCACTATGTTAAAAAGGAATGGAGATTTTAAAAAATCTGTGCGGTCAGTCCATGAGTATTTTTTATATTACTCTCTATACTTTTGAGCATGTTCCAAGTATTCCTGTTTTCTTGAGTATTAGCAGCTGTTGTTTCAAATAGAGTTCCTAGACCAGGAAGTGCCCAAAGAACTCACACTGAAGTACAGTTCAGGATCAGAGTCCAACAAAGAAGGCACTCACCATTCACCAAGGAAACAAAGACAATCCCCTAGCCCACAAGATTAGCTATATAGACAAAAGTGAACATGGCTGCCCCATAGATAATAAGATTCACTAATTCTGTACTATGTAAGGATTATAAGCAATAATAAAAAAGAACAAGGGTTTGGAGAGATGACTCAGTGGTTAAAGGAATTGACTGTTCTTGCAGAGAACCTGTTTCAGTTCCCAGCACCCACATGGGGCTCATAACCATCTGTTAACTCCAGTTTCATGGATATAGTGCCCTCTTCTGGCCTCTGAGGGCACCAGAAATGTACATTATGAACTTTTATACATGTAGGCAAACACTCATACACATAAACATAAATAAATCTTTTTTTAAAAAATGAACAAAAACAAAATGAAAAACTGATGTTTCCTAAATCTGAAGTTCTTCAAACTGGAAGCTCTAGCTTCAGTCACAGAAATTCAAGCAAAACTAAAGAAATTGAAAATACCATGAAAAAGTGCACGTAACTGGGAATGATGTAATTCAGAATTTTAATATTGTAATCTATTAAGTATAGTAAAAGTAAAGTATATCCTCCCCCAAAAAACCAGCTTTTAAAATATTGCTATAAATCTTCAAATCTTAAATACTTAATGCAAGAATCCTAAAATGTTTTCAGCATGGTTTAATTAAATGACTAAATTTTTGTTTGTTTTGTTTTCAAGATAGTATCTCATATAAGTGGGGTCTCATGGATGTGGGAGCCTCCCATCTACATATTTTCTCAAGACAGAGTCTCATGAGGCTCCCACATCCATGAGACCCCCACTTATATGAGATGCTATCTTGAAAACAAAACAAACAAAAACTCCTGATCCTGCCTCCACCTCTAGGTATGTGTCATCACATCTGGCTTAAATGTTTTTTTTAATTTGTTAAAAATATCTGTAATCTTAGGACTGGAGGTATAGCTCAATGGTAGAGTACTTGCCTAGCATATGTGAGGCAATGAATTCAATCCCTAGAACCATAAAATGTAAGTTATATATAACATATATATTGTCTTAGTGACAAGTTTTGTAATTTTATAAATTGTAAGAGGTACTTACATTGAATTTAATTATGTCATATATCAAATATCTTGGAACAGCCTGTCCATTTACTTTGTCAATGATCATTTCCTTCAAAGAAAGAAAAAGGTTAGTTTTTCTATAGCGATTTCTTTAATTTGATTAGAATACAATATAAATATGAAAAGCATATATAACTTGAATACGCACCTTGATGAAACTTCGAAGGGAGCACACTTGTACCCACGTCAAATCAATAAGCTTTCAGCACCTCAAAATTTTTTATTATGCATCTATAATATATACTGAAACAAAACCTTTGACGGTATATACTTGTTTGTAGAGTCTAGGGTTTCAAGTTGTTTTGAGGCAGGGTCCTGCTATGTAGTCCTGGCTAGCTTACAGCTCACTGGTTAGCCAAGGCTGAAGATCTTGAACTCCCAGAAATCCTCCTGCCTCAGCCTTCAGAGTTCTAGATTAGAGACTTGCACCACTTCACTCAGCTTTACACTTTTAAAATTTGAATTGCCACACTATATTCTGCTGTTATGTTTGAATTACTAGGCAATATTTAAGGGTAAACTTAAAAATCTGAAATTCAGGATCATTTTTATAAATAATTGCTTAATCACTACACTATTGTTTTAACTTCTGTTATATGCTAATTACATTAATTAAAATAACTAGCTAGTAAACTACAAGTAGTCTTACTGTTAATTCCTATGTAGTCTTTATGATTCCATGCAGAGTTCACCTCAGATCTACAAGGGTCATTAAATAGAAGAAGGTGGTACACAACTGTAATCCTGGCACCTGGGAGGCAGAGGCAGGACAATCAAGAGGTCAGCATTAGCTATCTCCCAGTGCTAGGATTACAGGCATTCACCACCACACCCTAGTTATACAGGGCCATGGATGGAACCCAGATTTCCATTCATGATATGCAAGCATTCTACCAATTGATCTACATCCTCAACCCCAAATTTGTTATTTTAAACTGTTTACTGAATACTTTTACTTAAATATTTGCCTCTGCTCACTGGATGCAGGAACAAAGTGATAACAATAGCAGATCTCAACCAGTGGTTCTTTTCAAAAATTATGACTAGAAATTAAGTGAACTTCAAAGTTTAGATAGCAGATATTATAGTATTTTCCTCACGAATCATCTGATAAAATAAGCAAAAATATGCTTTTGCCAAGCATAATGGCTCGTGCCTTTAATCCCAGCACTCGAGAGACAGAGGCAGGTAGGTTTCTATGATTTTTGAGGCCAGCCTGGTCCACATATGCAGTTTAGGGTTCCAGGCCAGCCACACATAAAGACCTTATCTTTTAAAAATAAAGGGCTGGAAAGATGATTGAGAGGTAAAGAGCACTGGCTGCAGAGAACCTGGGTTAGATTTGTATTCGTTTTGGGGGACTCCAGTGCTCTCTTCTGACCTCCAAAGGTATTGCACAACACAGGTGCACTTATATACATGCAGACAATACACTCATATACATAAAAATAATAAATTTTTTTAAATGTCTTTCTTTAAACAGTAGCTTAAAAGGCAAAAGCAAAACTCATTATCAATAAGCAAAATGTAATAAACAAATAATAAATAAGCTTTTAAAACTATGACAGGCAAGAAGATACCAAATGCTCTGGTCCTAAGACATAGAAAAATCACGCCGGAACTGAACCGAAAGATTTCCCCGCTGCTAGCTAGCCCTCAGAGCGCTGGAAGGCACTATGCAGGTGGCTAGGGGAAAAATTATCCTCAACCATTTTACTCAGCTGTGGACTGTGTGTGTAACACTACCAACAGCCCAAGCAAAATGTATACACTGGTGCTACAGCCTATTATAGTGTAGCCAACCACTTTCTGGATTTGAGGCCCATTCAACAGGAGGAAATTCATATCTGGCACTATAAACCCAGTTAAAAGCCTGTAGCTAGGGAGTTCACAGGCCCTGGATGGGAAGCTACTAATGTGGATTTGATAAATGGACATGATGCACTTGTTGAATCACCTACATAATGTTTAGTGTAGATTATTAGTGTTGCTGTTATTTAGTCAGAAAAGCTTTGTACAGTGGTAATTGCAGAGACTCATAAATGATCAAGGTGATGAGAGTGACGTTTGAATGCTCAGCCATAACAGGACATCTATAATGCCCCACCCCACCCCCCAAGGTTCAGGGAACATTGCAGGAGAGGGCAAAAAGAATCTAAGAGCCTGAGGAAGGGGTGGAGTGCTGGAGAATGCCGTTTTCTGAGTACAGCACCACTGCTGCACTCCTAAACTCTCCGAGTGGCTATAACTAGCTGCACAAGACCTGCACAACAGGGTAACAGTCAACATCCTATTCTAGAGGGGGGAGGTACTCGTGAGGCCACACCCCTCTCTGAGGAATTATAGGTAATTCATGGTTGATGAGGAAGAGAGTCATTTTCTTCAGTGGTAAGTGGACACACTTATAAATACCTCTTTACCCATGTTCCTGTTAGTAACTTTAATGAAATTCATTGGGTTCTAAGAAAAATAAGGAGTGAGAGGAGAACAAAGAAGGCAATGGGATGTGTGTAGAACCAAAATACATTACATATATGTATGAATATGTCATAATGAAACCAATTATTACATATAATATAGTTTAATAAGAATTTTGTCTTTTTGAGACAGGGTCCTCTCTGTAGCCCCAGCTGGCCCAGAACTCACTATGTAGACCAGGCTGGCCTCAATCGCAAAGATATCTTCCTGCCTCTGCTTCCTGACTGCTGGGATTAAAGGCATGTACCACCATACCAAGCTAAGAACATTTTTATTTTTAACTGACAGCCAAAAAGCTATCAGGATTCTGGCAAACAGACTACTAGATTCAACCCAACGGCATTACTAAACCAGTAGTCTTATCAATACAGTGACAAATTCCCAACAATTTTTCATATACAAATGAAAAAAAAAAAAAGTCAGTGGTTATCCCTATTTGTCTCCCTCTTCTGAGGAATAATAAAAACAGCTGAATGCTCTGTCTGAAGTAAAAGCCAGGAAGCCACACTGCATTGGAGAAATGATCTGTGCATCATTGGAATAAAATACGCCTTCACCCAAATGCAGACATTCACCAAATGCTCTGTTGTCTCTCAAAGGCCTGGTGGTAACCCCAAATACTACACCTGAGTCCTTCACAAGGACTCCACCACTGCAACAGACTCTTCGTCATAACCACCATCATCGCCCTAAGCTAAAGAAAGTAGGTAAACTTAAATATAAAACCTTCAAACTTGCCAGGCATGGTGGCGCACACCTTTAATCCCAGCACTAGGGAGGCAGAGGCAGGCGGATCTCTGTGAATTCAAGGCCAGCCTGGTCTACATAGTGAGTTTCAGGACAGCTGGGGCTACAGGGAGACCCTGTCTCAAAAGGACCAAAAAAAAAAAAAAACCTTCAAACTTAATTAAGAAAACTGGAACCTTCTGTGCACTGCTCGTATGTTTGTAAAATGATGTAAGCACTAGAGAGAGCAGTATAGCAATTCTCTCAAAATTATACAAAATAGAACAGCCATACATGTAGCCCAGCTCTCCTGCTTCTAGGGATAACACCAAAAGAGCTGAAGGCAGAATCTTAAGAGATATTTCCACACCCACCAACCTTAAGGATTAATCAGACAGTCAAGAGGTAGAGGCACCCAAGTATCTAAGGGATAAAATCATAAACATAATGTGTCATATATACATAATGGGATACTATTCATCTGTGAAATAAAAACTGCCACATATTACAACATGGACAAACCTTAAGGATACAAGACAACAAATAAACCAATCACACCCCACACACACACACACACACACACACACACACACACACACACACACCACCGACCTCAACTTTATGAGGTACCTAAGAATGTGGCTGTGAGATGGTAGAGGTCAACAGAATGCAGAGCTATCTGATGGATACAGAGCTTCATTCTGCAAATGAAAATATTCTGGAGTTGTACTGTAGATCAGTATGAATATACTTACCATAACTGAATTGTATACTTAAGAGTTAACAGCAGAGTTTACACATTGTGTTTTTATCACAATCAGAAACTTAAAAAGAAAAAAACTGTACTTAAGTGAAAACAAACTCCCACACTATTTACTTTCCTGACAGAAATAACTGAAGTCAAAGACACATGTAGCAGTCGTTTTCAAGATAATGCCTGGTTGGGAATAACCGACAGGAACACTTACTGAGTCCCACAACTGTTCCACCTGCTACTGGAGAAGTCCAGGCTCAGAGCAGGCAAGCAGACCATAGGTAAAACCTCACAGCCTCACTAGGCTGAGAAAATGATCAGTTTTCCTAGGGAGACAATGTAGCTTAAGTTCTCAAGCCAGTGTATGAAAGAGAGACTGGAAGCTACTCAAGAGAAAGAGCTTTAGAGTGCAGATGGGCTCCCTAACTAGTCAAAGTGCTCATTACTGTATGCATGTGGGGAAACAATTCAAGGCCTAACAAAGAGTTCCACCCAGGAGCCTAAAGGGAACAGCAACTGATACCCAGTATTAAGCCCAGAAATGCCTGTTCCCATCAACCAGATCAGAAAATCTCAACTGCTAGACACAGTAGCACATACTTAAAATCCCAGCACTCAGAAAACTGGGGCATGAAGACTTCCAGTTCAGTCTGAGCTACACAAAAACACACCTTCATCAAAAAAGAAAGAAAGAAATGGGGGGGGGTGCTAAGGAGGGACTGAAAAAGAAGGAGAGGAGGAGAAGCATCTCAAAATACTTAGAGCACTGGATATTGAGATAATAATGCATAAGAATCATCCCTAAACTTAAAACTTCTCTGGTCTGCCAAACAAATCTTAAAATCAAGCTCCAAATTAGCAAATTAGTTCCAAATAAATCATATTCCAGAATGAAGTTTAAGAAAACTTAAAGGAATACACCAGATGTGGTAGCATATGATTGTAATCCTAGAAATTCAAGAAGTGGAAGAATAAAAAATAAAGACAGGAAGGCAAGGAAGGGGAGAACAGGGACAGCTTACAGGAATATAAAAAATAGTCACTCACCTCCAACAAGGTAAAACATAAAATGTCTGATATGCAAACAAAAG